GATGCCTAACATAAGGCATGAAAAGCAAACACTTAAAAAAAAAAAAAACAACACATAGGTCAGTGCCCTCAGAAACATTTTTGTTCAGTCCACAAATATTCTCCAGGGAAAAAGAAAAAGTGCTTATCTTGTACTCTTGATTTTTTCTTTTTTTTTTTTTTGGAGCATGTAATTTTTATCAGTTTGTTTTGTTTTTGTTACTTTTTTTCACTCACTGCTTATAAAACTAGCAAGCAGAAGTCTCTCTGGAACAAGATAGAATCATAAAAGTTTTCAAGAATCTCGTCACAAACTAAACAGTACAAATTGCACATTCTTCATGGAAGTATCAGCCTTTAGTGCGTGCCTGGATCCAACTATAATAGATTATCCCAAAGTGGGAAAGAATGAACAGTATAAAATTAGCAGAACTGGGAGCAGAGATTGTCTAGGGAAGGCAATATGATCTGCAGTTTCGGGGCCTGGATTCAAAGGCAACGGGAAACAACTATGTAAAGTTTTATTTTTGCAAGTAAGCACTCGGTAGGATCTCAAGAGGCAGACTGGTGCACTGGATCAAATATCAGGAAAATTATATTAACAACTACAATGCTTGCTACAATATTGTACTATTTGTACTGTACAACAGCTGTACTATCATCATGCCTGTTACTTATATAACACATACATTGCATATGCAAATGAAGCATGTATATGGCAAACATTCAGATATTTATTTACACACCATGTTTGGAATTTTTGTGAGTTAGGTTAAGTATATTCCTGAGTAGGTGTCCAACCACACTTTCTCGTGATATTAACACACATATCCAAATAAATATTCACATAATTAGATAGGTTTCATTTATAATGTCACAGGCTTGTGAATTCGATATTCTCTCAAACTTCACCTAACAGTAGAGGAATTACCAAAGAAGAAAGTTAAGGTATAATAATAATTTTAGCCATTCTTTTTCCTAGTTGCTATAATCTACCCAAAGATAACTAATTGTTCAAAGTAAACATTCCACTCAGACCACAAAAGGAATCCATTACACAAACATATAATTCACAGTCATTTTTAGTGGGTTGTAAACAGTTTGGAATGAGCATAAAATGGGACAAAAATCAAAGTGAGCATTTTGAAATGAAAAAGTGTTTGCTACAAAAGGTCAGTCCCTTTGCTTGGCAAACTATGTAGAAAAGCCTGGGAAAATGCTGATCACACAAGCAATGAGGGAATTTTAAAGCCAACGGCCTCCTTGTTTCTTTAAACAGACATCGGAACCTATAACTGGATCCTGTCAAACAAACGACAGCAAAAAAATATAACAGCTGCTAAGAAGTCAAGTTGAGAGATAAAGTTTTTGAGGCTAAGGACCTTCTCAGAAGCAGACTAAAGGTCTTTCTTAAATCTTTAAGCAAGGTTATGGATCCCAGGGTGGCTTTTAGGCACCAAGTCAAATATGTAACTTTGTGTACCATTCCTGTCATAGCATTTCGTGTTCTAGAAAAAAGACAGAAAGGGCAAACTTGTTGATTAGCATCTGCTGAGGCATTCTGCAGAGTTGCTTATACCTGGAATTATCACATTTGAAAAACATGGTTTCAATTTTTAAGAAAAATGTGGTCAAAAGCATGTAACATAAAATTTCTCACCCTAATCCTTTTTAAGTATATCGTTCAGTGATTATAAGTATATTCACATTGTTATACAAAGCATCTCTAGGTACCATTTTAATGTTTTAAAATAGTTTGGGTGCATATTAACACCAGAACTGGGAATCATGAAGGAAGTACGAGTTGTTAAGACATATTTCAAATGATGGATACCAATCTAAATTATATTACAAACTTAAAAAAAAATCAATCTTATTCCCTTAAAACCAAAAATATTTTGGATGCATAAAAATATGTTTAGGGTAGAAATATGCTCATCTGTCTAGTTAACTCTACTCTTATATAACATATATTTAACTAAATGTATGTTTGGTGCTATTGGGTAGAATATGACTGGTTCACCACTTAAGGCATGTCCTTTTAGATCTCACACCAAGGGACACCTTACACACATTACATAGTCACAGTGTGTCAAGAAAATAACCTGAAAAATAAGGAAAAATTACACGTCTCCTGGTTATCTTCTTTATAATGAAAATAAAATCAGACAAATATGAGTTCATTTTTCAGGGTTTCTTACGTCATTTTTAAGCATACATATTTCCTGTTTTTTTTTTAAATTATGATTTTAATGGTTCTTCTGTCTTAAAGGGTCTGTTCTTTTCTCTCATAGCACTTATCACAGTTTATGCTAACATACATACCCATATGTATCTGTCTGTTTAATGTCTATCTCCTCTGTATTATCAGCTGGTAATATGCAGAATGACACACAGTAGGTATTCAATTGCTATTTGGCTTCGATTACTTGATTTAACCACTATTTATTGAGGGCTTACAAGGTATCTCATGCTGTATAAAGCTTCTTTCCAAAAAATGGACCTTCACAGAAGATAGTTACATGCTTTGAATAAAAATAACTATGAAATAACTGTGAAACAACGACTACTTGTTACACCAGTTTAGAATATGTACTTTGTTTAGTTCAGGTCTCCTTGTATGTAACACACAGGTGATCTAATTTTTAAGTAAGGAATTTCTACACATATATGATGTCATTATAAACTACACAAAGTGTTTTATAACATAGTGAAAGATAAACTTCTCACTGCTTATATCTACTGTATGTTACAATGCCTTCCTCTACATCAAACTTTTCCAACCCATGGCCTAGGGGTTTGAATACAGTCCAACATAAATTAGTAAGCTTTCTTAAAACATTATGAGACTTTTCTGCAATGTTTTTAAAGCTCATTAGCTATAGTTGGCGTTAGCATATTTTATGTGTGGCCCAAGACAATTCTTCTTCAAATGTGACCCAGGGAAACAAAAAAATTAGACACCCCTGCTCTGCATGCTTGTTTCCTAAAACCTCCAAGATAGTGTCAGATGATCTCATGCTTTTGGTCATTGTACCCAAGATATGGAGAAAGCATTAGCTGAACAATGTTTTAAAATTTTCACAGAAATTGCTTTGAAAAAGAAACATTAGTTGAATTTTTCATTGGTTAATCATGATTTATCAGATACGTGGTCTCCAACTATAAAGGCAAGACAAGGGGGAAGAAACCGTTTGAAAGAGCTGTAAAGACTAACATGCTCCTTAAAAATTTGTCTTCCATGGATTAAAGACTTAAATGTAAGACCTGGAACCATAAAAAGCCTAGAAGAAAACCTAGGCAGTACCATTCAGGACACAGGCATGGGCAAAGACTTCATGACTAAAACATCAAAAGCAATGGCAACAAAAGCCAAAATTGACAAATGGGATCTAATTAAACCAAAAAGCTTCTGCACAGCAAAAGAAACTATAATCAGAGTGAGCAGGCAACCTACAGAATGGGAGAAAACTTTTGCAATCTATCCATCTGCAAAGGGCTAATATCCAGAATCTACAATGAACTGAAACAAATTTACAAGAAAAAACAAACCCCATCAACAAGTGGGCAAAGGATATGAACATACACTTCCCAAAAGAAGACATTTATGCACCCAACAAACATGTGAAAAAAAGCTCATCATCACTGGTCATTAGAAAAATGATCATCAAAACCATGTTGAGATAACATCTCATGTCAGTTAGAATGGCAATCATTAAAAGTCAGTAAACAACAGATGCTGGAGAGGTTGTGGAGAAATAGGAACACTTTTACACAGTTGGTGGGAATGTAAATTAGTTCAACCATTGTGGAAGATAGTGTGGCAATTCCTCAAGGATCTAGAACCAGAAATGCCATTTGACTCAGCAATCCCATTACTGGGTATATACCCAAAGGATTATGAATCATTCTACTATAAAGACACATGCACACGTATGTTCGTTGTGGCACTGTTTACAATAGTAAACAGTTGGAACCAACTCAAATGCCCATCAAAGATAGACTGGATAAAGAAAATGTGGCACATATACACCATGGATACTATGATACTATGTGGCATGTATACACCATGGATATACCATGGAGCTACAGTCATAAAAAAGGATGAGTTCACGTCCTTTGCAGGGACATGGCTGAAGCTGGAAACCATCATTTTCAGCAAAGTAACAGCAGAACAGAAAACCAAACACTGCACGTTCTCACTCATAAGTGGGTGTTGAACAATGAGAACACATGGACACAGGGAGGGGAACATCACACACCGGGGAAGGTCAAGGCGTGGGGTGCTGGGGGGACAGCATTAGGAGAAATACCTAATGTTGATGATGGGTTGATGGGGTGCAGTAAACCACCATAGCACATGTATACCTATGTAACAAACCTGGACATTCTGCACATGTACCCCAGAACTTAAAGTATAATTAAAAAATAAAAAGCAAAACAAAACAAAACACAAAACAATTTGTTTTCCAAATTTTGTGTGTGTTTTCAAAGCTCAGCTGACAATGTCAGAAACCACAGAAATGGGCCAGACACGGTGGCTCATGCCTGTAATCCCAGTACTTTGGGAGACCAAGGTGGGCAGATCACAAGCTCAGGAGTTCAAGACCAGCCTAACCAATACGGTGAAACTCTATCTCTGTTTAAAATACAAAAATTAGCGGGGCATGGTGGCATGTTCCTGTAGTCCCAGCTACTCGGGAGGCTGAGGCAGGAGAATCGCTTGAACCCAGAAGGCAGAGGTTGCGGTGAACCGAGATTGTGCCACTGCACTCCAGCCTGGGCAACAGAGTGAGACTCTATCCCAAAAAAGAAAAAAGAAACCATAGAAATAAATTTAATCTAGTTATAACAGTTGGTGAGGAGGAGAATGCTCTGGTAATTTAGAGTAATAAAGAGAACCAAATCAAGATACAAAAACATACTAAACAAATTATTAGCTAAATTGGTTTATATTCAGTTTATTAATAGACTTTCTTCTAGGCATGTCTAAAATTTAAAATGTAACTAATGTCACCTTACCAGGGATGAATAAAGAATGCATCCTGCGCCAAGCACTGGGTAGAATTTCCCTGGAGAGACCTACAGAAATGTGAGCAATTTGGTTCTGTTCAATGCAAATAGGTAAGACAAATGACTGACTGAATAAATGAATGAATGAATGGTGAGATCTGCCTTCCTGATAATGTTTCATTTTACATCATCAATCTAATAAGTATTTTAAAAAAATATAGCTACAATTTATAGATGATTTTTAAAGGAGAAAAAAATAATCATAAGAAAAAAAAGAGAAGGAAACAAATCTTTTTTTTATAACAGCGAATGTGCCGATGTAGTGAGTATCAAGACCGTTTCCCTAAGACTGTGAGAGTAAACACACAGTTTTTCATTAAATGTTCCTTTCCCATAACTGGTCCATCAGCATTTCCCATGACTCTGCAGTTGAGTATCTTGGCTGGAAGAGGATCTGGCCATTAGAAGGAGGGCTCCAGATATGCTGAGTCCCAGCCGTGCTGAGAGACTTGGCACCTTAATATGCTACTTCCTAATACCAACCCCAGCACAAAATGTCATCAGAAGCCTGCATAAACATTGGACTTAGATTCACATAAATTATTTCTGTCCTGAAATGCTTTATGCCAGAATTTCGTAAAAACAACACTTTGAGTAAATAGAATTGGCGTATAAATATAAGAATATTAATCCAACAAAATGATCATAGAAAATTATAATCAAAAGTACACACTTGTAAATCTTGCAATGATGCGAGAGGTTTATCTTGTGCTTCTTAGTTTTTATTGAATATTTCCATAGAGTTCCTTTAAGCTGACGCTGCCAAAGTGCTTTGAATTATCAGTTGCTTTGTGGAATTGTAAAGTCTTTGAGTTTCATTAAAATGCTTAGGAATTATTTTAATAATCATATGTGTGATTAGTGCCTGTTTAGTGCTGGATCTACAAATTCATTTTAAGAGTAAACACAGGGACAATGAAATATAAGGCTAGATGTGATTGCTCCAGTCAGCAAAAACATTGTCTTATTTTATTAAAATCACCAACAAAATACCATGAACAAAAGATATAGTTTCTATTTATAGACATTTTCTACTCTACAATATTATAATATCTGCTAACTGCAAGGCTGCATATAGCAGAGTTTTTTGTTTTGCTTAGGGTAGATACATAAATCGAGAGGTATGGAGCGCTTCTTTACACATGCACACATCTTATTATGTGCTTCCCCAATGTCCTATTTGGATTTTTGGTCTAATATAACAGTGTTCACACTGTCGGTGCTGAGTATTTATAAGTAGATGAAGATTTCCTGAAAATGATGACAATTTAGCTATCGAAAATAATAACATTATAATATTCTCAGTGATCCATTTTGGCTTTAAATACTTATTAAAGAATATTTATTCCTAAAATATATACTTATAAAATTAAATGAAATTGCAACTTGCAATAAAAACAATTTTTCTCTAAACTCCAATTGACTTCATTTCTCACAGACACCTCTCCTCATGTTCATCCTGCAGTTGCTGTTTTCTATTCTCACTGTACTCTCAGCTCTTCTCTCTGAAGTGGTGATATGCTTTCCCCAAAGTCACTCTCTTTATCCACATTACCTACCCACTCTTCCCCTTCTTGTTATTCTCTCATTCCCTACTGATAGGGGAATAATAGGATCCCAAGGCTGTCCTTACAGCATAATTAAAGTATGAATTTCCAGGAGTTAGAAATTGCAGACCATTTTTATTATGCTTTTATAATAAAGCCAGGTAACATTGAGAGAATTAAAATGGCTTTTTTTTCCTAGCAGATTACTGGGTAAAGGTTTTTTCCCCTTGGTTCTATTGTCTTAAGAGACTAGGAGCTAGAAATGGGAATAGGTTCACCAATCCTTTTTCTGAAAACACCTCTATCTTTTACATGATATATATCCCCCTAGATCCTGGGAATATGTTGTAAACTTGTAACAGATGGTGATGAAGCCTCGCATTTTTATACAATACATTTTTTAAGATTCTGCGTCTACTATATGTATCTTCCAGGAAAAATGACCTTGAATGAATGAAGTCATAGTTTGAAGGAAAAGCACCCCACAGATGGAGTGGAGTGGAAATGATGATTCAATTGGGTTTTGTTTTGTTCTCTTCAGTAAGATGAAATAATTTCTGATGAAAAACAGAATGTTGAAATAGAGGAGTCAAAGGTCATCTTTTGAGGTACGTCTTTTAATTGTTCCTGAAAATCCCAATAGCACATTCAGTACTGAACAGAAACATGTGGAAGGTGGGATATCACCGTCTGCAAGTCGGAATGCTATTTGCTTAACTTGGGTAATGTTGGGGGCTTACCAAAAATTGTTCTGGCACAATGTCTACCAGCATGAATGTTAGGAGGGTTCTAACACTGTGAGTGCTGATATTTTATGAATGTTTTATCACTGGCTTGAAAACAAGAAGTTTGCACTTGAATCAACAGTATGTCAGACAGACAAAATATTAAAAAAAAAAAAAAAAAGAACATTAGTGAGAATTCCTAATGTCCCTATTGTAAAAACAAACTGAAGTTAATAAGAAAGTTGATCCTCTTAACCGATTAACACAAGTCAAGTTTTAATTGCATGGCTTCTCAGACAAATCAAGTGGCACTGCTAACTTGAGTACTGATTGCATAGAGGGTGCAGTAATGCAGGGAACATTCAGTTACCCACCTCTTTTCTCAACAGCTTCAATGCATTGCTTTACAAACCGCGGAACTGTGGAATTTTCACGTTCACACACTGTGTGCAGATGAGAGCCAAAAATTTGATCTGCAAAAGAAACAAAGATGAGCTTCATTAAAATCCAAGCTTGCGTTGTTCTTTAATTTGATTCTGTTTCCATATCCATTCCATGCTGAAATCTTCATCTTGCATAGGAATTGATTTTTTGCTTTATTTTCAAAGTGTCTGTGGCAGACATATGAAGACCACAACTCCCTCCTTTATGCAATAGGACCCTGGCCCCAGAGTGAGAAAACTAACACTCTGCCATCGATTAGGTAGGGATGACTGTGTAAGTTATGGTCTCTCTGGGCCTTAACTTTGTTGTCTAAAAAGGAATGACAGGGAATTAAGAAAACTTCTGCAAAATAATTAATCTTAGTGTCTTTGGTATACTGTTTTAGAAGAAGTTTACCGGTTAATGGTTATAAAAATTACAATGTTATCAGTACAGTTAGGACATTCATTCTGCAACTCAGTGGTATTTGAGGAGGCAAGTTCTAGGGGACTTGCTTCGAAGTGAATTACTTAGCAGTTCTCCTGCCTTGAATGTCTTTCCTCTTCTCAAATCTAACTATTACCTTTCCTTTAGGGCTCAGCTTAGGTCACACTTTCTCCACTAACTCCTTCTTATCTCAGCTTTGTGTCTCCTGTAACATCAGTTATTAGGAATATCAGATCCTCAGGATGTTAATAGAGGATTCAGGAAAAAGGGCCCTTGAACAAAATGTTTTAGTGTCATTAGGTTCTGCAAATCAGACAGGTTTCTTTAATGCGTATTTATTTTTGGAGCCTGTGAAATGCCGACGTGTGCTGTGAATCTCCATGAGGGATGGAGGATGCATTATCTCCCAAACTTATTTGAGCAACATTTTTTTATTTCAAAGAGCATGTCTCCAGGGTTTCTGAGAACACCCACTATGAAATCCTAGCCTAGCCCTCTCATTTGGAACGTGATTTGCACTACCTTGCATTGTGTATTTACATTTGTAATATATGGAATATACTCTCTCAAAGCAGATTCTGAGTGTCTGAATCATCTATGTCTTCACCAGTGCTTAGCACAGACTCTGGCCTGCGGTAATCACAGATAGACGTTTGTTTTTTATAATTGTAATATAATATACATAACATAGAATCGATCATTTTCACCATTTTTAAGTGTACCATTCAGTGGCATTAAGTACATTCACAATGTTATGCAACTCTCACCATCATGCCTTTCCAGGTTTTGCTATTAAGATAGTATCAATGCTTATTACTGATAATGAAACAAATATTTAGTGGGTTCAAGGGCTTCCCATTTCACTCAGAATGAAATAAAGTCTCTACTGTGACTTACAAGGTATTATATAATCTGACCTCCCCTAATTAGTGGATTTTGAGTTTTCTCTCCCCATTTTTAAATTTGCAATAGCTCCAAATTGCTCTTTCTCATTGCTGCCAAGCACTCTTCAGCTGCAGGGACTGTGCATTTTCTTCTTCATGGAACTCCATTGCCTTAGGTCTCTGATCAAATGGTATCTTCTTATTTTAGCCTTTCCTAGCAACCTTTTAAAAAACGGCTCCACTTCATGACATTCTCTATGCCACTTTCCCAGCCTTACTTTTCTTAGAGCACATATCCCCATTAGACATATGAGACTGATATGCTTTCTGCTTAGTTGTTTCCCTTGCTTAGAATGTAAAACCCAGGAGAGTAGGAGTCGCATCTCAATCATTTATTATTGGATCCCCAGTACCTAAACAGTGTTTGGCACATATTAGAAGTTCAATAAACATTTGTAGAATGATGTACTGCAAGACATCATCTTAACCATCAGTGGAGGTAGTCAATATATTTTTTAAAGTATACATAAAATTAGATAGAATAATATATAATGCAGCATAGTGTTCAGTGATAAAATGGAGTGTAGTGAGACTTCAAGGAATCATAATTTTCATTTATTTCTTAGGAAAATGTAACGGTTTGAGTTGGTGACAACCCAGCATGGAGGAAACAATAAAGGCTAAAACACTATTAATAACATACTCCAATATGGAAAAGTGCATTTTTAGCCAAGTAACAGAAAGAAGCTCAAAACACATGAATATAGTATGGAGAAGTGGGAAATAATCATGGATATTTGCTTTGAACACTTTGGTCAAGTAACAATGACTTGTTCAAAACACTTGTAACCACTCTAAGAAAGAACGACATAAAATATTTAGGAAAAAATAACCCAGTATATCAGATCAAATGACTTACATTGTCTAGAGATTACAGTCAGGAGGAAGAATTGCTATAAAGTAAAAAACCCATTAATGGATTTTATTATTCAAATCAATTTCACAAACATTTATTATCTTCTATCTTCACAACAATGAGGGTAGGCATATTGAGTTGAAAAACAACATCAGGAAGTTTGTAATAGTGTAGGGGCTAGAAATAAAGAATATAGCAGGTATCATAAAAGGTATTGAATGCTAAGAAAGATATCCTTTCGTATAAGGTCTTTTTGTGTCATTTAGTGCAGATGTGGTATGTGGTGTGTGTATGTCTTTATGACAGAGAGTGGGAAAGAGAGACTTGTGTTTGGCAAAATTGTTTTGGTTTTGTTTGGTTTTTTTTTTGCTAGGTGGATATAAGAAGATATAGGTGAGAGCATTCCCGGGCATTTACTCTTTTATTCATTTAGTTATTTCCTAAAGAACATCTTGAGCGGCTACACTGTGTTTAGGGATAGGAGAGGCACTGGTAATATAACATCCAAGACTCATTCCCTATTTTCTAAAGCTTTGCCTAGTAGGGCAGTATATAAGGAACAGGTAGGAACATTTTATCATGAGAAAACTGCTATAACTGGGGAAGCGCAGAGGCAACGTGGGAGCATGTGGTGGGGCGGCAGAACAGCCTTGGGTGCTTCCCTTCTCTCAGAGATAAGGAAAGACAAGTAAAAGAGGAAACAAAAAGCATTTTGGGAAAATGAAAGGAAGTAAACAAATGCATGAATGATGGGAAGAATGATAGGAACACTGGAGTATGCTGAGGAAAACATTGACTCTTATTAGAGATATCTTGATATATTCAGTTTTAAAAGAGATGGAGGTTGTGTTATAAAGAATCTTAAATTTTGCCAGTTAGGTTAAATTATTTGACAGTGTGCAGATACCATTGATTTTCTGAATATAAGTAATTCCTCTCCTGCCTTCTTTCTTGTTTTTAGAAGCCACTCATATGACAGAACCTGAAAATCATCTCTATTGATTTCTACCTGCCTTGCAGCTTTGGGTGATTAGATAGCTCTGATCAATGAAATGTCCAGAAAAGTGACTCAGGACCATATAGGAAGAGATTTTTTTCCCCTGATGAAAGGAAAGGGACATATAAGGAGTCTTTTTCCTTATTTTCATTCATCTTTGAATATAATTTTGCAATGATGTGATGCTTGGAGCTATTGCAGCAATCTTATCATCGTGAGACAATGAGTGCTAAGAACAGCAGCTAATGTATTAAAAATAAACAACAAAAGCTCGAGACTCTGATGACATTTCTAAGCTTTTAAACCAACACAAAACACTTTCTCTAGACTTATTTTCATATGAAATAATATAAGTTGTTGTAGACTGGGTATTCTATTATCTACCGCCAAAAACATATGATATGACATTAGGAAGTGATTGTGGTTTTTGAGTAAAGTGAGTATTATAAACACACTCTACTTGAGGAGGTTTACTTGGTAGCACTTTGTAAAGAAAATGGAGGGAGTATAATATAGTGGGGAAGATGAGGCACGAGGAGATTAAACAACTAATGCGATTGCCTAGGAAAGATATTATGAGGACCGGAATCTGGATAAAGGTGTGATAAATGTGCACAATCCTTCTTGTCTTCTCTGAATTCGATGATACATTCACCTCCTTTGCCATGGGAACGTGGCACTGGTACCACACACTAGAGTTGGCAATGTTTATTTCCCCCATTTCTTTGATATTGGGTTTGTCCTAATGTCTTCTTTGGAATAATGTAATGTGAGTGGAAATATGTCAGTTCCAGACCGAGACCTTAACACACATTGCAGATTTCTACTTATCTTCTTGCTTCTCTGCTATTGCCAAAGAAGAGCTTCCCTGGGTAGCTGCTGCCCCTTCAGCGTGGAACCCAGAATAAATACATATGGCACAGACCTGAGGCCAACCCTTAGTGAAGAAACAAGTCCAGTCAGATCTGCAGCTTAAAGCAGAGCGGCCCAGTCAAGCCTGCACCACAGACACATGAGAAATAGATGCTCCTTGTTATATTGCCACTGAGATTTTATGTTTGTTTGTCATGTAGCAATAGCTTACTCATATAGGTGGTGATGAGTCCAGGTTTTTGGTGTAATATGATCGAAGCTATGCCGTGAGAATAAAAACAAAGAGGGTTGGCAGGACATGGAAACTAAAACTGGAGAGTGAACAAAAAACTTCTAAATTTGCTACGGATGTGGAGTTATGCCTTCAGTATAATTTCAGTGCTAAGGAGGAGTCTCAAAGAAAATTAGTTTTCACCTTAAAATTTAAACTATTTAGGGCTTATCAAATTTTATGGCACCTATTCTGCACTCTCTCCAGATTAATCCGATTGTATCCAATTCCATTCAGTTACTATTTAGTGAGCACCTCCCCTGTGCTCCGTGTTGTAAAGAGTGCAAAGATTGTTTTATTCATTCGGTAACTGTTTCATGCAGGCTATAAGCCAGACACTGTGCGCCAGCCTGAAAATGTAATGATGCGCCATCTCCTACAGTTTAGGGGGGCAAAATAACTCTCACAAGCAGCTACAATGTAATGTGAACAATGCTATTCCAGATATGTGTAAAAATAATAGTGAGGGTTTATTGTACACTACACTAAGCCAAGCAGGGCTCAACATACTTTATATATCCTAACATTTAATTCTCTCATGTACCCACAACGCTTTGAGAGTAGATACTACTATTATCTTCATTTTACAGAAGAGGGAACTAAGGCCCAGAGACATTTGTGCAAGGTTCACAGAGCATTAGGCTCTTGGAGGAGGAAGAATG